AAAAATGGAATCGAGTACCCGGATATGTAAGAAATACATTCGGGTCAACCTCTGAATATTCAATCACGATTTGACAGAGACTATTATAGAAAACTTGAAAAAGTGGCAATAAGACATTAAAACTGACCTCAAGCTATTGAATTTACGTCTGTTTAACCAATATAGAGAGTAACACCATTACTTACATTCCTCGTTATAACAACGAACGAAACGTTCCTGCTGCTACTGTAACTTAACTACTCACTGCTCATGCACAGTTAAATTACAGTCATTAAAACTATGCTCCATTAATCGGACAATACCAATGATGTAAAAACCCGTGAATTTCCGGGTTAGAATATTGATCTTCAGTAACCCATGCTTGTCGTAAGAGGCGACGAACGGGATCGGGTGGTTAAACTCGCTGACTTTGGTTGACACATGTCATCGTATCCCAATAGCACACATCGATGCTCATGTTGTTGATCACTGGATTGTCTGGTCCAGACTCGATTATTTACAGACCGCCGCCATATAGCTGGAATATTGCTGAGTGTGGCGTAAAACTAAACTCAGTCACTCACTCACTCATTGATGTAAATGTGTGTTATGTCAAAAACGTAAAAACAAGCTATTGTCTGCCCTTGTCATTACAGAGCTCTCTCCCGTTCCGGGTACCCGATTCCTAGAAATAGGACTCGATTCTAGCTGTACCCGACCCGGATTCGAGTACCGTAGTACCCGTCCCAGCCTTAGAATTCAGTGATGCATTTGTCGCCGCTGAATATGAAATATATGTGATGTAATTGGCAACTCAATACCGGCCTTCGCGAAACGTTGTGAGTTGTGAGTGATATGCAGGCCTACTTCGTAGTCATTTTGATTAAATGTTATATTTGAATATCGAAACCTTTTTGTCACAGCGAACACAACACTATCTCTTGTCATTTTACACGATAATGTTTGGAATTTTAAACATATTTTTTAACAATATCTGAATGCTAATGTTATACACTGATGTATTTTATATAAGGAATACAATGGTACAATAGTATTTCTCTGCCGAATCGTTGCAGCGTTCTATAATCCACTTATGAAATATAATACATGTTTTCCGTCCTTGAAGACATTGAAAAGAACTATCTATGCATTTTCTGCAGTCACTTGTGAATTGAACTAAATGGAGGTTCATCTGATCAATGAGTATCGAGGAAATTATGTTCATCTACTACAGCGTTCTATAATACACTTCTGAAATATGATACATGTTTCCGACATTGAAGTCATTAAAAAGAATTATGCATTTTCTGCAGTCACTTGTGAATTGAACTAAATGAAGGTTCATCTGATTAATGAGTATCGAGGAAATTATGTTCATCTATACATTAGACGCAGCTTCATGTTTTTCAAGACATCTTTCCGGAATATGCGTCTGCGAAGGCGTTCAGATAATGACGATATTGCACAGTTTTATTCATGCGATTCCTGACAACATGCAGTAAGGTCGAATAATAAATCGATTTTATTCAGCAGTGTTGGCCCTGGGGCCTATAGTACAATTACAGTTTGATTACTTGCACGTGGTGCTAGTAACATATTAAGTTTCTATTGGCATTGAATGCATATTTCAGATAAAAGCTATGGTATTATTGTCACAACATCTGTATTGTTTGATGTTAAAAGATTTGGCAATGTGTGTTCATACATTACAATTTTTGACAAACTTGGCAAATAATTAATAAGTGACATTGATAGCATCTTAATGACTTTGCCATACAGTCATGACAATTTAAGGAGTGAAAAGTGAGCGATAGGTCTTGTGGGAATTCAAAGATTCATTAAGACTGTAGCCGTCTAAGCGTAACTCCTGTGTGTAATATTTGTAAATATTCTATCCACTGAAAACATGCTTCTACTATTAATATTACATGTATTTTCATGGATTCATTATATTTTATCTATAGCTGTGCTATAGTTTCTCATTAAAATGTCTTTTCTGTTGTCGGAATTGAAGTAAGTCCCACACAGAACAGGGATCATATGTCTTTGAAATATATATGCAAACGTCTGGAACCTTGTGTTCCAATAAAAGCGTTCGTAGCGCTACGACATTCGCATGCCTATGATAAACTATAGAGTTGGTCTCAACCATTGACTGGATTACATTCTCATCGTCAGCAGAGAAATTTCGACTTCTCTTTTTCCTTGGGGTGCAGGCGACATTTCGCGATTCCATTTTTGGTAATCCGGAAGTAAACAGAAAACGGAATTGTGGGATATATGAAAGCTAACCAGTGACGTTAACCACACTATTAAACTTTGACGGCGACGTTAGCTAACGGCATGACTAACCATGTTTTGAACAACGCATATTTAACGTTCGGTTACCTAACGGCCGGTTAAGGATTTAACCGGCCGTTAGGAGTTAACCGGCGGTTAAGATAACCGAGTATTGAACAACCGGGCCCTGGACGACAGGGTTTCAGTTAGATATAAAATACAAACAGTACGTTCCAGGGGCACATGACAGGATTTGCTGACACTGCGCGAACACCGGGTGTCCTGACTGTTTACACACAGTACAATGTTAGGGATACTGGGGATCTAACCTGCTAGTTCTAGCCATAGTAGATAACTGTATACTTCTCCTGGAGTTGATATTTTAGTGATTTTCAGCATCATTTTTATTGTGTTCAATTTATTGTACAACAAAAGATATTTTCTGCAAAACTGCTGATACGGCGTTAAACAAAACTCACTAACGGTTTCCTGTTTCTCTAACCCGTGAAGATCCGGGTTAGAATTGATCTTCAGTAACCCATGCTTGTCGTAAGAGGCGACTAACAGGATCGGGTGGTCAGGCTCGCTGACTTGGTTGACACATGTCATCGGTTTCCAATTGCGCAGATCGATGCTCATGCTCTTGATCACTGGATTGTCTGGTCCAGACTCGATTATTTACAAACCGCCGCCATATAGCTGGAATATTGCTGAGTGCGGCGTAAAATTAAACTCACTCACTCACCTGTTTCACTAAGCTGTTAGAATTCTACCGCCTGGAGGATAGACCCCATGAACATTGAAGTTATGACGCTTGTGCTTTAAAAGCATGCACGGGGTATTTGGAAGCTGATGTCCTCATTATTATAATGGGGATGAACAAAATACCAGGTTTGAGTCAGGCAGCTCGAATGGGCTGGGGTGTCGCCAACGTGTAATTACAGACGTGCACGACGTGACAACTGCTGCGTCACGTCACGGTCCACGGTCCACAGTCTACGTCAAAGCACCTCGGCCCATGTCAATCGAAATGAGAACAACCATAGCTCACAGGCATGACTGGGCAGGTTTCCTTCAGCCCTCTTCAATGTGATATCCTTGTAATGAGTAGATACTGGGCCTCTCCATCAGATTAGGGACACGGTCGACCAGTCACGTATGGCGCGGGAATTCATTGCAGAGTTGCTTCCCTTTATCACCCCCCCAGAAACTTATCGGTGCTCGACTCTCACTTCACCCCGATTGTTACAAGGTCGTCTAGAACATACCTAAGCTCTTTGGTTTCACCGAAGTAGTAAAGTTTGAATTACTTCAGGCTTTCCTCCACCATTAAGCTGACAAGCTGTCGTATAACTGGAATAAAGTTCAAAGGGTCTGAGAATTAAAATCACGTGGATATTGATTCCCTGACCTGGGTATGTCAGCGCTTAGGGCATGCTTATGTGTGGAGGCTCTCGTCAAATTCATATCAATGACTTTATAATGATATTTCTTGTTTGTTTGTTTGTTTGGGGAGTGCGACATTAAACAACAAACCAAAACAAACAGTTGTTAGTATTCCATATACGGAACTAAAAACCCTCAGGAATCATCAATATTTTGTGTAGGACTGGGTTTCTTTGAAGGTTTACCGTATACAGAAATATTGCACGATACCTAAACCTTACAGCATGTCATACGTATCAGGGCCTACCAGCTGAATTTCCATAAAACAACAACATAATAATAATAATAGTCCATTTATATTGCGCGTTTATCCATGCAAATTGCATGCTCAAAGCGCTGACATATTACCCCTGGTCAACGAGTACAGAACACTCCATGTGGAGAATACAACCGGTCGCCTGTCAGGCGCTCAAGGTTCAAATTCAGACTACCATCGTATCATACCAGGTACCCAATTTTACTGCTGGGTGGACAGAGGCAATTTTGAACAAACTCACTTGCCTAAGGTGAGACCACATGCGTCACATGTGCTTCGTTGTGGGGCAGGACTGAAGTCCTAGAAACTGGAATCAAGCTGCCAAACACGGTCACCAATCCGAGGACTGTCCGCGCCCAACGTTGCTTAACTTCAACTGAATGTGACCTGAGCTCTACGCACAGGACCACACACCGCCAGAGACATGGCAAAAAACGAATTGTTCTGTACAGAGGAAACAGTTGAATGCCTTGAAGCAGTGACTGCCAAGATTCTTTCTCTAAATAGAATTCCAGGTTGAAAAATAAAATGATCGGTCCCTAAAGCCATGCTTCATATTGTCATTTCATCAAGCAAACTATGGCACACGTAAACCCTCTTAATCCAGGCAGGGTTATGTAACTGAATTGGCTGTTCCTAGATCAACCGATCGTTGGTTCAAATCCAACATTCAAATGAAACAAGTCTAGATTTTCCCGGGATCTGAATGTCCCCCGCTAACTGTGGCTCCTCTTCAATTCCATCAATACTATACTCATGCCAATAATGGTTGTCAACCCCAACCCCACCTCACACCCCCACCCCACACCCCCTCTCTAATTTAAAAATTGGAGGGGGTGACAACCATTATTGGCATGAGTATATATTTATAGACTAAGCGTTAGTCTAGTTTATGATACTTCATGGTTTATCCAAATTACCACATACACCTTCTACCTAGGTGAAGGTTAACGCCAGCAGCAGCCATGACGCATCTTACCCGTCCATTCTTGTATACTTGCAACTATACCTTAATAACTTATTTCATGTACATTTCCAGCCTATTCGCCATTAACGCACAAGGAGAGCTCCGAATATCGGCCGATAAAGACAACCTAACGGAAAACCAATACGACGTGGTTGTCATAGTAACAGACAATGGCGTTCCTTCCCGTCAATCTTCAGCGGTAGTGAAGGTCAAGTTCCCTCCACAGAGTCCAACCATCGGGAACGTGACGATGCAGGAAGGTGGAAGCGACGTCGTCTCCATCTGCCTCGGCGTCGTCGCCGCGACTCTCCTCATCATTGTCATCATCCTAACAGTCTACATTGTTAGACGGTACGTTTTCAAAAGCAAAGTCCGCCATTTCATCTAATACTCCGTCAAAATACTGCTAAGTGTACGAAAATAATGGCAAAACGTACATATACTACTAAAAGGAAGTAAAGAATACATGATTCTTTCATATTACCATTGTTAATCTGTCATTTAGTTCGCAAAATATGTAAAGTGCATACGATTCTTTCGTGGTGTGATAGATTAACTATAGTATTATATATACTGAAGTGTTTTACAAAATGTACGTCCACTGCGCCTCATGTTCCTCCCATGATTGACGTCGTTTTGCCAACCAAGGTGTTTATACATTGTCAACACAAATAATAAGAACAATGATCATAATAATCATAATAATTATTTCTTGGTTTGTTTTCGAGATGTTATTGTCGAACAGAAAAAGCGATTGACTTTACGGTACGTTTTAATTAAGATGTCATGTTCCGATAGCAAATGTGTCAGTCATTACGTTCAGCTGCTCTGTCCTACATATCGCTACTAATATTCCAGCCTTTCTCTGTTCAGAAGACTACAGAGCACGGAACAGCTGGACAAGGCCAAGAACCGCAGCTCCCTCGACCCACGTGGCATTATGTTCAAGAAGCACCCCGGCTCAAGAGCCCCGTCCCGGGTAGCCATCGACTTCGCCAACGAGGAGTCCACAGACGGAGGCACGACACTAGCAGAGAACCCGTTTACCCTGGATGGCAACAGTAACTATGGTTACATGCATAGCGACGAGTCCGAGAATGACAGAGACGTTGACGAGATTCAGATCGAGACTGCTGTAATTCCCTACAGAAATGTGGGCAAATTTTCTTCCAATGGACCAGTATTTCCTAATATGGAAGATGAGGATGGGCTACCTATTAACGATCACTCGTATCACAACAGCTCCCTCAGCACGTTCAAGGATTCTAACGACAGTCTCCATAGCGACAGCACGAGCAGTAAAAAGGGACTTATGAAAAATATGAATGGCATCGGGACAAAGTCTCTTCCGAATAAAAAGTTGTCCTGGGCGGGGAATGGCGAGATGCCGTCAAATAAATCACTGGTAAGTAATAGATAAAGTATGGGATGACCATTTGATATTGTCTGAAGTTAGAGTAGGAGCTGACAACTTTATATGCTGGTTGTTTGGGTAGGAGTGGGTGAATCGTGGCTTCATTGTTTTGTTTTTTTAAACATTACTGTTCCTAAATTTGTTGAAAATATAGAATAACTGGATGGATGATGGAGGCTTTGCTTTTTTAAACAATAATCCTAGCTGACATGGTTGACACATGTCATCGTATCCCAATTATTTGATCGATGTTCATGCTTCTGATCACTGGATTGTCTGGTCCAGACTTGATTATTACAGATCGCCGCTATATAGCTGGAATATTGCAGAGTGCGGCGTAAATATCAAACAAACAAACAAAACATTTTCTCTACCCGAAATTGTTCCACAAAGCAACAAAATACATTAACATTGGTGGTTGACAATTCCAGGCGATTCCAGTTCAAATTTCTGCTTTTGTTGTAATCACCTCAGATTCCTTAGGAGTGAGAGCTAACCGACGAATCGGCATAGGTCCTAAGGAGAAATCCCCGTCCGTTTCTGTCTGCAATAGTTTAACCGTTAGAGAAGTGTTCTGTAAATGCACCATTACTAATATTTGGTTTCTACTTACAGAATAGTCTGGATCATGACCCGGGCATTTCGCCGATTGACGAGAAGCCAGAAATAACGGTATACTTCTGAACAATGATGTATTATTGTGTGTAACCTTGACCTTCGTGAGGGACTCACGGATATGTTCATGTTCACGTGCAATTCATGGATGTGAGGACCCAGCGGTGACACGTGATATTGTACAACCACCAGCTTATGTCCAGACAGTTGACAGTATTGCTACAGGACACAGGACAACTGGATGATATACCTTCTTCCAAGTGCTGGTTTTGTTGTTGCGGTAAACTGAGGACAACTGATGTCAGGTCATTATAGATACATGCTGATGGCCAATGTTGGTATTGAAGTCAGACTGATCAGTGATTCGCAGAAAGATGTCTTGGATCTTTAACTGGACTGCTGACGTATTCGTGTAAAGTGAGTGAGTGTGGTTTTATGCCGTTTTCAGCAATATTCCAGCAATATCACGGCAGGTGACACCAGAAATGGGCACCACACATTGTACCCACGTGGGGAATCGAACCTGGGTCTTCAGCGTGACGAGCAGACGTTATTTGTGTGAAGGACAGCTGAATGAAAGTTGTAGGATAATTTCAAAGGAAAAAGGTCTTTCGTCCTCAAGAATAGAGCGAATCAGTTCATCTTCAAAACATCTGGTTGACGAAGTATCTAACCTGCTGACAGGTTCGTTTCAAGGAATACAACGAGCTGATTCACTTACAGAGCAGCTGATTGGCCCTTTGTCATGACTGCTGATTGGTTCGTTACCAGGATTTCCTTTTTGTTTTGGTTTGTGATTGAACGGTTTTCAGTGCAGCTGATTCCTTCTGGTACCGAAGGGTGATTGTAAGTGTTTCCTGTTGGTTAAAGAATAGCAATACGAACGTTCTGATCTCTTCAACTGGGGAAACTCTTCGTGAAAGCCTTCAGTGACCTCCCTTGTTCTTATGGACCATGTGACAAAGCCAAATTTCCGGGATTTGAGTGTATCACCAGAACGTCAAGGCCGATATAAACCAGGCGCCTCTTGAACAGATACTCCCCTAACGTCATTATACAAGACATGTTATGTTTGGGATTACACTTTCTTAGTAAAGTACAAATTCTAGTACTTTTTGAGTTGAGTCCCATCCGGGATTCGAACTCACACCCTCAGAGTCAGGCACCCAATCGCCAGCACACAAAGTCAGCCGCCTAACCCACTCAGCTACCGCGACTTCCACAAAAATGGAAGTCGGACAACTGGTAGTCTAGACTGCGGGCTTTGTGTACCCTCTGATAAGTGTTAATTGGCACGGCTCCCACGGCCGAAAGCTATGATTACACAATGCCATTTAGAAAGTGGTCAAATGCAACATGTGTTATATTTGGGATTACACTTTCTTAGTAAAGTACAAATTCTAGTACTTTTTGAGTTGAGTCCCATCCGGGATTCGAACTCACACCCTCAGAGTCAGGCACCCAATCGCCAGCACACAAAGTCAGCCGCCTAACCCACTCCAGCTACCGCGACTTCCACAAAAATGGAAGTCGGACAACTGGTAGTCTAGACTGCGGGCTTTGTGTACCCCTCTGATAAGTGTTAATTGGCACGGCTCCCACGGCCGAAAGCTATGATTACACTAAAGTGTAATCCCAAATATAACACATGTTGCATTTGACCACTTTCTAAATGGCATTGTGTAATCATAGCTTTCGGCCGTGGGAGCCGTGCCAATTAACACTTATCAGAGGGGTACACAAAGCCCGCAGTCTAGACTAATAGTTGTCCGACTTCCATTTTGTGGAAGTCGCGGTAGCTGAGTGGGTTAGGCGGCTGACTTTGTGCGCTGGCGATTGGGTGCCTGACTCTGAGGGTGTGAGTTCGAATCCCGGATGGGACTCAACTCAAAAAGTACTAGAATTTGTACTTTTACTAAGAAAGTGTAATCCCAAATATAACACATGTTGCATTTGACCACTTTCTAAATGGCATTGTGTAGTCATTATACAAGACAAATTTAGAAATGTTTAGAAAATTTTACTTTTAAATTTCATGTTAGCATTTGTTATTTCAACAGAACAATGGCTAGGACAAATCAACTGATTAGGTAACTAATGAAATCATGTGGATTGACAGTGCCATCAAGTGAGTGAGTGAATGAGTATGGTTTTATGCCGCTTTTAGCAATATTCTAGCAACATCGCGGCAAGGGACACCGGAAATATATCCATATGTGGGGTGTCTCGAATCCGGGCCTTAGGCGTGACGAGCTAACACTTCATCCACAGGACTACCCGACACCTCTGTCACTGACAGAATATTCTATAAAGCATCAATTAAAAGAAGACTCGAGATTATACCAATACAAAGTACTAGAATCTGTACTTTACTGGCAAAGTACTAGAATGTGTACTTTACTGGCAAAGTACTAGAATCTGTACTTTACTGACAAAGTACTAGAATCTGTACTTTACTGACAAAGTACTAGAATCTGTACTTTACTGACAAAGTACTAGAATCTGTACTTTACTGGAAAAGTACTAGAATCTGTACTTTACTGACAAAGTACTAGAATCTGTACTTTACTGGAAAAGTACTAGAATCTGTACTTTACTGACAAAGTACTAGAATCTGTACTTTACTGACAAAGTACTAGAATCTGTACTTTACTGACAAAGTACTAAAATTGTACTTTACTGAAAAAGTACTAGAATATGTACTTTATCGAGTAAGCGAAAATTAACATGTTATGTTACCAGACCGCCAAACTTTTCTAGATTTCCACGATTTCCAGGTTTCCGTATGTCAGAGCTCGCTGTACGACAGAGCACCACGTGTTTGCAAGGATTAGAAGGAACGTAGTGTTGCAATATACAAGTGCTTCGATGTATCAAATAATACAGATTAATAATTATGCATCCAGTTAAATGAATTGGTCTCAAAATTCTGAACTGATTATTGTACTAAGTTGCGCAATAGGACGGGACCCAGTCAACAGGAAACGAGACTGTTGTGTAATCAATGTTTTGACTTGAAGGATCCATGTGAATGGGAGTACAACTTACATCGCCTGGACCTATATACTGGACCCTGTCATCAGACCCTCAATCACGCGTCGCCCGCCCAGCCCCACCCTTATGTACCACCTTGTACCGAGATACTTCCTAACAAACGTGCCTTAATCAGAATGAAGCATTCGCGTCTATCTTGCCCAATGTGTATCATTCACGTCAGCATAATTCATGCATCATGGCGCTCTGTATCCGAAATATGTATAATATATTCATCCAGCGTCATGTGCACGCTTCTGTACATAGCCAACATAATTTCATTAACCAAAGATTGTGGTGATATTTTGTATGATACATACACGACACTAATCAAAATGCATCATGGGATCATTATACTAAGATATCTTAGTACGACTGTTAACACGTGTTAAGACATCCTTAATACTCAGACCGATTTGTCGTAACTTTCCATTCTATCCAATTATCGTATCCAAGAAAAGGAAAGTTTCCAATTTTCGTTCCATGAAATAATGGTCATTTATGTATTCACAAAGTTACAACGTTCCTGAAAATGCTACATTCATTTTTGTTAACGATTAACGAAATTAATTCTAAAGCAACATGATCAGGACAGCCAACAATGAAGATTTCAAATTATCAATGTAAGAAATCATTTGAAGAATTCTATCGTTGATAATTGTTTGACCATAAATCTGTTAACATCGGCGGGATGCATGTTCCGCTTATCATCCTCCATATACTCTTTCAGCATGTATATATTTCTAACACTTGTTTATATGATCTGACCTAGTATTTCAGCCGTACATTCATATGATCGTTTATACGAGTATAAGCATTGTGATCCTACAGACGATACTCCAAATGTGATTTCACGAGAAGATATTTCTTGGGAAATAAAGTCTTTCCACAACGACTCATCGTCGGCACCCTTTGTTCTTATCAGTACTAAGTGAGTGAGTATGGTTTTACGCTGCTTTTAGCAATATTCCAGCAATATCACTGCGGGGGACACCTGAAATGGGCTTCACGCATTGTACCCATGTGGGGAATCGAACCCGGGTCTACAGCGTGACGATTGAACGCTTCAACCACTAGGCTACCCCACCCAGCGTTATTGCCTGAAGTTTCAGATATTTGCAGGCCCTTGTTGCCTTCAGTAAATTATCTGTCAATTTTTGTTTTTACTGGAATCTTTCCCATAATTATTTTTCTTTATTAACGTTCGGGAATCATCCATGATCCATCATGTTACGAATACTAGACAGTTTCACTTCCTGGTACTTCAGCCTGGTTCCCTGGGTCTGTTGCGCCTGCGTTAACGCTCAGTGTCGGAGCGTTAGCGCAGGCGCAACAGACCCAGGGAACAAGGCTGCTGGTACTTCAGCACTTTGCGCATAGGAATGTCAACACCAGTCTTAACAAGTAAATTCAAACCTCTCTCCACCATAAGCTTCGCTAATTGACTTTGTAGAAACCGTGTGAAACTGTGTACAGTGTAGTCTATTTTGTTTTTATTGGTTGGACTTAAAGAAAAGAGCCTGCAGATTTCATTCAGGGAATGTAGATTTTAAAGCCTGCTGGCGGCCGCAGGCCCTGATGGTCAACTGGCAAATTCAATCAACCTTTATTTCCGTTTTAATGAGGCCACAGGCCTTTAGTACATGAAACATACATACATTTATATTCGCCCGAGTAGTAACTTTTACATTTTTTCAAATATTATTATTTATATGGAATATAAACATTGATAAATGATAAAATGTTTGTACTTGTTAGTAATGATATAACTGTAATAACGTTTGGATATCTATAAAAAGAGATTCGGTAAATATTTTCTTCTAAGGTCTAAGTACGGCGGACAACAAGAAGGAAATGGTACTCATCCTCGACAGTAATTAAAACACATAGTTGGCATAGTCTCTCTTGTCGATTAATATTAGTATAGCGTCCAGTTTCTATAAATAAATCATGAGATGAACATCAAAAACGTGATAATGCAACTGGGAACTTCTTTACTGTTATCTACTGAGAGGTACCAGGGGCGGTGGGGTAGCCTAATGGTTAAATCGTCGGCTCGTCACGCTGACGACCCGGGTTCGAATCCCCACATGGGCACAATGTGTGAAGCCCATTTATGGTGTCCCCTGCCGTGATATTGCTGGAATATTGCTAAAAGCGGCGTAAAACCCAACTCACTCACTGAGAGGTACCATTCCAAACTTATTTGCTCTTTAAAAATTTTGTAATAGAAACATTTGTTTGATAGAGTCAGCGATTCAAACCAACTGCAAACACTGCCCCCTACTGCTCCTCTCAGTACCGACTGTAGTCTCTCGTACAGACCCTGAAGCAAATATATCCAAGAAAGCCCACACAAGTCTAGAAAACGTGGCAAGTCTAGATTTCCTCAGCTTCAGGGCTCCTTTTCATTATATATTTTTTTTATTTACTATGAACTTTTTTCAGTAAAATATGTTCATTTCAGAGACTAGTTGTTAGTCTATACTGACTGTAAACCCTGTCTGCAGCCATGGTGGCCCAGCCGAGATACTTCACACCTCCAGGCTAGCTTCCTGGATACTGTCTGTTGTATAAGTTTAAAATCCAGATTCGGATTTCGAGTTTGTCTGCTAAAGCTCGTGGCTTACAGGGACATATATGTCCTTCCCCTTCAACCCTCAATTTCAAGTCCAATAAAATCAAAATATCCCACGCACACAAATACACTTCACAGTTTCGAATTCTGCGGAAAATTTCCTGTTTCTTGATACCATCCACTATTATTTTAGACAAAGCTCAAGTGCTGAAAATGACCTTTCAAAATAGGCTTCATCGAAAATGTCGCCATTTTTGACACAGTACGAAATCGCGATTCACAGCGTTATTTGCTGTATGTTTTGAAATGTGAAAATCGGATAATTACTGGGAGTATTGAATTTCAAAAATAACATATTCATGATCACTGATATCAGTTTTACATGAAATCGCTAATTATAATTCTGAAACGTTGCCGATGAATCTAGAATCGGTTGGGATGTTTTCGAAAATGCACTTACACGAACGCCGTAGAGCGCTTTCCGCCATATTGGATAGTGTTTACAAAATCACGTTTCGCGAAGGCCGGTATTGAGACGCCTATTACATCACGTATATTTCATATTCAGCTTCGAAAAATGCATCACTGAATTCCCCATACATTTTAGAATCAAATTGCAACTGGTCTGTGTCACCAATACCAACTGTCTAGATAAAATGAGACGAAACATATTGGGTGTGAAAACGAACGCTGTGCTTGAAAGACTGCGCTTGTCTGAAATGTAAACAAAGACAAATTCCGATTTTACACTGCGTAGCATTTTCTGAAATTTTTCAACATTCATCCGTCTATTCATTGCTTGCAATGGCTCAATACCTTTGGAATATGCATGGAAAGAGTATCGTAGCAAGAAATAGGAAATTATAAATAGATACAATGCAATGATTTGATAATTCATAAGAAATTGTCAAAGTTTCCGTGCAGCGTGACGCCATGACTGACGCAAAATCACGCAGAACGACAACGGTAATTATCTGCATTTCTGGCTTTTTCTCTTACTTATAGTGAAAACGATAAAAACATATAACAATACACAGATAGTCAGAATCATTCTGATTACTTACATCTCATATTTATGTACAAACGATCCCTGAATCAATGGAAGGGTCCTCGCAAAATCCTGTGTACCCTTGTCAGCAAAGCCGCCATTTTGTAAGAAATCGGTCAGCGGTAGTGATGTCATACGTCAACATTGTTCTACATATTAGGCAATTTCTTTGAGGTGAAGGTCGGTTGAACAAGAGTAAACACAATCGCCCAATCCTTCCGATTACACTGTCAGTATTATGGTGTATATTTTGCGTATAGTTCAGATACTTTTTCATGAAACTGACTTCAGTATCTACATTTAGCCTTGTTCAATATCATATCATACGTGCATATAGGGTTTACGGTGTTTTATTCTTTGAAAGTTTTGATTGTTTGAATCATATTTACATAAGAAATTGACATATTTAGTGCAATACACCATATTCTAAACCTTTACACAAGTGTTAGAAGATCAAACGTAGCCATAACTGCAACTACTTTAGTTCCTATGATGTACAATATTCAATTTATTTGGACTAATATTGCAATTTCATATGAACAGGTTAATGAACGGTGATTTAATTCAACCTTATATGTAAAACTGATAATATTAATGAAAATGATTTATATATGGTATGAAATGTATATGCACACATATTTAAAGGAATTGTCTTGTTCATTGCATAATTTTGTGTCGTTTTATAGACAAAAGAATGATGCATATTGATCGGCCAGGTGCGCGTTTGTTGGAAACGTTTTATGATTCTCTATCATTGTTTTCGATAATATAATCAATTCATATTCGATTAAATAATATTGTGATGACAGGATATCAAACTCTAACTACATTTATAGGAAAATTGTTGAAAAATATATATACCATCTCATGTGTTAATTCGGACAAATCTTACATCCATATTCTAATATATAGTTCCATATATAAAAAGCTATCTTTTTGCATCTTTCATTGCATACGTATGAAGAGAAATAGCTACATAATCATAAACAAACAAAATTCTTATCCCAAACAAAATATTCGGGTGTTGTGAAATATTATTTTTATTTACGTTAAATTGATGCCAAACAGGTGCGCGTGTTGTTCACAATAAGATACGCTGTCAAACCGTCTAATTGTTGATATATTCAGGACACTATTTAAATGGAAAAATCAGTCATTTTATGTTTTGTCTAAAGAGTGTTAAATTCTGACGTAGAAGCCGAGACCTTTTATACAATTAATGGAAATTAGGTGAGATATATACTAATCAGCATACCAATGTCGTCTTTTTCCGACGTCGCAAAATGCATAAAACAAGCAATGACGTCAACTAAAATGTTGTATTATTTTCAGCAATTTCATTACATTTGAAGATATGGCTAGTATTCTGGTAATAACGATGCAAAATTAGTCAAATTACATCTACACAAACAGGAGAATATGGGAATCTAAGAACTAACTTATATATCGGATAGGGCCATCCAAATCGCTATTACGTGCTTTCACATGTAATACGTTGTCATTTTTCTTGTAAATTGTGAAACTACCAAACTGCATCCGCTCACATTGGGGAACTTTGAATTGGAATAGTTTGGTTCACCATGAACATAAAATAACGAAAATATAGCGTCCGTATCCACAACAAATTCTCTCCAAGTGATCTGAGTTACATTGACCTAGTGTTACGCATAACGGAGTTATGCCCCCTTATCATTATACGTGTATGACCTCTCTGTCGTCGTTTGACGTCATAGAAGAAAATCCATTTTTGACATTTATTGCGAGTCATTTTTAATGTTGAGCGTATAACGTTATGCACAAGCACATAAACCCAATTCATATACACTTATGTCGTTCAGATATCAGGCTGTATTTTCTTCGCTCACACTTTCCGTAAAGATGCCACATTAAAAAATTCGTAGCACAGTGCTTTTATCGGTGCGCGATAAAAAGCGGATAAATTTACTGTTTTTTAACGCATAACAAACTTTGGACAACATTTAGCAGTGTCTATTTCTCAAACCGCCAAGGTAGTTGCACTTATATTTATACCAACGGATAGGAAATTTAATATTCTACATTTCTGTGTAATTTTATAGCCGTACGTAGATCCAGGACCACGCGAGCGCAATTCTCGCACAACGTTCACTTTTCAAACCGTATGAAAATGTGCGCCTGAAAAAAACTCGGCATCAAGGGGTATGTATATGTGTATGTGTATGTGTGACTGATGGTACTAGCCCAGACTTAAGCTGGTTTTATAGTGCTAGCTCACTGAGATACCATGCCGCAGTGAAGCATGAATACCCCACTCAGACACATTATACTGACTCCGAGCTGACCAGTCCTTGCTGTACCCATTAATGCCGAGCGCCAGGCAGGGACCAACAAGTACCATATTTTAACGTCTTTTGGTGTGACGCGGCCGGCGATCGAACCCGCGACCTTCCACTCTCCGGGCTAACCACTACACCACTTAGGCGGTTTGAAAACAAGCATGTGTATGTGGGTGTAACAGTCACTGTTGAGTAAATGCGGCATGGTTCGACCTGTAACTTGCCTCAGCAGACACAACATGTGTTGTATGCTTCAGTGTGGCTTAGGAACGAAGGAACTCTATGCAGCTTCTACCCGGTACAGCGTTGCTCAGCTTCATCTGATTTCTCACCTTGGGATTATTATAGACATGTCGATGTGCCACCCATACAGCTGTGGCGGACACGTCATGGTCTGGCGGACATACTGACCAACATGGCGTTAAGCAGAATCATACTGACTGACTGACTGACTGAGTTTGGTTTCACGCCGCTGTTAGCAATATTCCAGCAACATCACGGCGGGGGACACCAGAAATGGGCTTCACACATTGTACCCATGTGGGGATTCGAACCCGGGTCTTCGGCGTGACGAGCCAACGCTTTAACCACTAGGCTACCCCACGGTCCAGCAGAATCATAAACCTGCGCTCGGACTATCAACTGTGATGCTGTATTTAAATCAACTTACCATTGCACCCTTACAAAAACTGAATATAGGTGAGCGAGTGCGGTCGGCTGGCGTGGTGTGTGGGTGTGCTTGCCTGCGTGTGTGCCTGTGCGTTTGTGCGTGCGGGTGTACGAGCTTGCATGTTCACAACGGTCCACAAAGAGATTTTAGCTTACGCTACAAAGCTCGTATCGCTGTCGGACCTGACAGCAGAGTCTATAGAACAATTCATAGACGCAAAATGTCCGGTCGTGGCCGAAGTGCAGAATCTGTACAAGGAAGGGAAGCCTTATGTTTTTGGTCTAACACAGATTTCAGTTTGGGAACGTGCAACAAAGAACACAGTCTGGTTCCCTGGGTCCGTTGCGCCCAGGGAACCAGGCTGCAAAGAACTGGCATAAAGTCGTTTATAAATCATTTACATTCGGACAACTACCTTAACTCTCCACAAGGGAAATAAGGACATATTGGCATGCCGCATAGTCCGTAGAGATTCCGCTGAGGATACATTTACCGAGTCTGACCTCCAAAGACTCGTCTCTTCCAAGCAAAGGTTCCAGGAAACAAATCCGAGTATCCGAGCTAAGACTGTGTTTTTGAAAGACCCAGGGCCTAGATTTTCGAAGCTCTCTTAGCGCTAAGATAGTCATAAGTTAATGTTAATGTAGGGCACTTACGACTATCTTAGCGCTAAGAGGGCTTTGAAAATTTCGACCCTGTTGTTCATTCATCTTTAAACAAACTTTACAGAGAACTTAGTTCAACCACGCTATGTGACGTCATAAATCTGTGGAGTAGCTAGTACTGTGACGTCACGTTACGACAACGTCACAATGGACGTCGCTGGGGTAACTTGCCACACACGTCTTATTACCGTGTCGCACGTCTCTGAGAAGTTCGGACTTTATTTGGATTAATTTTACGTCCGATCATTTCACACAGTGATACACAATGTACATAAACAGCGAGCGGAAGAAAAGGGTTCATTGGGATGTGAGCATCACAGACATTAATGATAGGTAAGTTCAAACCATGACACGCATTGGTCTGTTCGCAGCCAACATTCTTAGTAATTATTTGGCGTAGGGATCCGACTACTCAAATGTTCACAGGTGTGGACTTTGATTGTTGAAACTATTCTTCTGGGACGGTACGTTTGCCTGCGAGGCAGGATTAAATCACTACCCCTAAATTTCACTCTTGGGAGGGTCCGTCCTAGGATAGAATCACTCTAGAGTGATATAATCCACTCCAATTATTCAAGGATCGAATTACTCCCCTCTCAAGGTCAAACACTCCTTTCAGGATGAAATTAATGTCCTTAAGGATAACATCACTCTCTGGTAAACAAAATCTATTTTATGCTTTTGGAAATAGTGAAATAGAAGTGTGGTACAACAGGCCACATTACATGTAATTATCAACAGGGGTGTTACCATCGTATTGTGTCTATATATGGTGTGGATGGGAGTAGTATTCATATGTTGACGAATCATATTTTCCTTATAAGAAATACATTGCTGCAAACGGGGTTCTTTTTCAAATAACCTTTGCAAAACGAATGCAGTTCCCGAAAGAGAAAAGTGATACTAGTCGCCTATTTTCTCAAATCAATTCATCGTAAATAACTTTATACAATGTATATGTACGTTTATCTGGATTAATGTCATAGATATCATTATCAAAGTAGTACGCCACGGTATTATATAGTTGTAGGAAGCAATAACACAGAAACTTGATGAGCATTGAATATTAATGTATGTTAAGATTATACTTAAAAAGATGGGGGTAGATACATAGGATACTTTGAAATAGTTTGAAAAACAGTTCGGAGTAGTAGCCATTGATAACAAGGATCGGAAGTGAGGTGAGGTGAAATTGGGTTTAACGTCGTGCTTGAGAATATTTCGCTCATACGTGCATGCGTGTGTATGTGTATGTGCGACTGCTTGTACTAGCCCAGACTGAAGCTGGTTTTATAGTGCTAGCTCACTGAGATACCATGCCGCAGTGAAGCATGAATACCCCACTCAAACACATTATACTGACTCCGAGCCGACCAGTCCTTGTTGTACCCATTAATGCCGAGCGCCAGACAGGGACCAACAAGTACCATATTTTAAGGTCTTTTGGTATGACGCGGTCGGGGATCGAACCCGCGACCTTCCGCTCTCCGGGCGGACGCTCTACCCACTACACCACGGAGGCGGTCAGGATCGGAAGTGCAGTTACCAAGTATCACCATATTGTTAATCATAACCAATCGTAATCGATGACTAGTGGCCATATATAGTATGACCAGAAATTATTGAGAATTTTAGGAATATGTTTAATTGGATTTCTAGTATAAACAACCTTGACCAGCTATCAAGTGCTTGGTTTCATTCAAGAGAGACAACTCCGTTAATCCTTTATCATTAGTTTGTGAAGAGTTATCCCCCTTTGTTTACTTGCTAGCAGACGACATTTTCAGTGATCCACAGTATAGATGATTTAGAGAAGAGGAAGTTGATCTTAGAGTATTATAACAAGGACATCAGACAGCTAAAGTGATTTCAAGTAGAACAGGCATCCCTTTGTCCACTGGTTATCGTGTTTTGAAAAATATTGCAAATGGATATGGCAATGAGCACCAGGGAGGCACAGGTAGGCCCAGAAAATTGACAGGCGGCGGCTTGGTATTCTTGTTTCTAAAAACAAACGAAGGAGTTTAGAAAATTTAAGGCTGGATATGATTGATAGAGGAACTGTGGCTGTCTGTAAGAAGACAATTAGAACTGAGCTGCATGCAATGGGTTGACAGAAAAGTCGAGGAATTCCATCACCGATCATGAAACCTGAACAAAAGGAGCGAAGGTTGAACTGGTGCTTACAGAATAGAAATTGTAACTGGGACAATGTGATTTTCTCAGATGAAAGTTCTGTGTGGCTGTTTCCTAATACACTGAAATTCTGGACCAAACAAACTGAAAAACCTTTTGTATCAGCGCCCAAAGTACAGTCCGAAATGTAACGAGTGGGGTGGCATATCTGTGTTAGGGGCAACGCCCCTCTGTGTATTTGAAGGGAATATGAACAGTGAGTGGTACACAGATATTCTCGAGGGACATGTACTTCCATCTGCTCACGTGTTCTATGGAATTTCTTTGATTTTCCAGCAAGACAACGACCCAAAACATCGTTCAAAGCATTCACAGGCCTGGTTTCGGACCCAAAATATGACATTATTAGATTGGCCATGTTATAGCCCTGAGCTAAATCCAATAGAAAATGTTTGGGGACTTATGAAGGAAAGTGCCAATAAGAAAAATCTGACAAATATTGCTGAAATGAAAGAAGAGGTGGTCCGATATTGGGACAGCATGGACCACGACTTTCTAACTTCTTTGATCAGCAGTATGCCCCGCCGCATTGAAGCCTGCATTGCTGCCGATGGTGACTTGACAAAGTACTAACTGTTCACCTGTCTTTGAATCTGGAGTTATGTTCTGGTAATATTCACATTTAATACGTGAGTAATGAGTGAAAAAATTTTAAAAATTACAATCTTTAAATTCTCAATAATTTCTGGTTGTACTGTACAAATATCCATTCTCTCAAATGTGTTTCATTACTACCTTCTTGTAATATTCAGTGCATATTTTATCGCGCATATTCATTACAGCTTTTGAACAAGTTAATGGCTTTTCCTAAATCATGAGGTATAAATTTTCAACCTGTATACGTACATGTATAATCACTAGCAAGGTTTGGATAAGTAACAAGTTCGGTTGGGACGGTGATTAGGTTGTATATATCTTGTCCATATTATATATACAGGAAGTATAATGGGAGTGATTCTACCCTGGGGGTGGTTTCATCCTGCAAATGGGGAGGAGTAATATGATCCTGGCGGGAGTGATTTGATCCTGTGCAGTGACCAGATCCTTCTACAGCTGTCTCTTCTAATGTAAAGTTCTTTGGAAATCCTGACACCCAACTTTATAATCATAAAGGGGAAGAACCCCCAACGCCTAGTTGTAAAAATATTGAATAAAATCTATTTCAACTTAATTTAGAACGTCTCATTTTCACCTAAACGTTTCACCATGGTGTCGTTGTTCAAAGTTCAAAGCGATCTTGGTGCTAAGGTGGTCGTAACTCCCAAACCCAGACTTAAGAAAATGTAGGCGATTTTTCGGTGATTATTTACTACAAGTGATTACATAAGGTACGCGGCCGCCTCCGCGGTGTAGTGGTTAGAGCGTCCGCCCGGAGAGCGGAAGGTCGCGGGTTCGATCCCCGACCGCGTCATACCAAAAGACGTTAAAATATGGTACTTGTTGGTTCCTGCCTGGCGCTCGGCATTAATGGGTACAACAAGGACTGGCCGGCTCGGAGTCAGTATAATGTGTCTGAGTGGGGTATTCATGCTTCACTGCGGCATGGTATCTCAGCGAGCTAGCACTATAAAACCAGCTTAAGTCTCGGGCTAGTACAAGCAGCCGCACATACACATACACACGCATGCACGTCGTCATATGAGCGAAATATTCTCAAGCACGACGTTAAACCCAATTTCACCTCACCTCACCTCACCTCACCTTACATAAGGTACGCATCCGTTCAAGTATTTACGGCACAGCAACATTCCCAAAAAGATATTCTGAATTATTTTGCCCATTCCTGACGACACTACAACCAAATCTAACTTTTTGTAGAATCCGACCATCTGATAATCCTCCCGATCCGCCCAAAAGCAAGAAACGAAAGTCAAGACCGACGGTTTTAAAAGATTTTCAAACGGCCAAAGAAAAGGTTGTAGAACTAATTTACAAAAGCAGATGTTTACAACTTGAGTGTTACCAGCTGACAGCGGATTTTTCCAAAATTGAAGACGATTTCATCATAATACAAAAAGCTTCCTCTCAAATAAAAGAACTGCTAGGAAAAGGCGAGCCACCATTCACGCGCAAGTCGCTCTTTAGTGTTGACGGAGTTATCTCCCGTGTATTGCACCCAGGCGAGACGCTCGCGCTCGATGTTGAGCAATTTCTGCTGGCAGACGGGTAAGAGTACTGAGACAACTTCAGAAAATGCGTTATTACTGAAAGTCAGTTCTCCATGTGATCAAAATAAACTTGTCTTGTATATCATTGGGTTTGTCATAACACAACAATGTATTTATTCACATAGGTTGTTTATTTTCAGTGTCCACCTTCAGATGCAACAGTTTTGACGTGACAAGAACTACACACGTTAATCTGTGCCGGCCTTGGTATATACTTATGGTATACTTATTGTATCCATGCTAGATACAATACTAAAAAGATTGCAACAAATTTGATGTACAGCTGAATATGAACGTAAAACCTCAGAAATGCCCATTCAGAGGCCCAGATAAGCTGCGTATCCGGGTAAAATACGCATAGAAAATTCCCATTTACGCATTGAAAAATAATTGTTGCGTACCAATTACGCATTTAAAATGTTAGATACGCAAAAAAGTGTAAAACAAATGTGTACGGAATATATTTATAAAAATCGCTTGCGTAATGAAAATGACATCGATTGCTATCAAGTTGTACTGTCAGTGTAGGATGAGTGATTTCCATTATATTTAAGTTGGTTTTGATTAGGTATGACATAAGGCAGAACATACCTGCTTAGTAAACTTACTCAATGACATAATACTTTGGTGAGTAAAATGATTGAAATACGCACATATCTGAAAGCAGTGGGTAACGAAAATTGAAATACCCACTCAACATTCATAATACCCACTCCAAAAAAAAATACAGTGGGTCCAGTACCCACATGAGCTAAATCTTATCTGGAGCTCTGAGTCCATTTACCATGTCTGTATAAATGATGACAACATATATTGGTTTTGTCACTAAATCAACATATAGTAATCTAGATGCATCTGGAGCAAAGTGACCACTTGTAGTTTTGTCATTCCCTCGGCCAGATCTAAAACACATCTGCCTTAAAAGCTCTACTAGAATTAGATACAAAAATAATAGTGGTGTGATTCATGGACAGCACAAACCAAACATACTTACATAGGACCAATTCTCTTTTAGCACAGACATATGCATGTGAAAGCATTTTTTTAATGTTCTCAAGACCAAAAAAAATAATATAAAATTATTCATGAAACAAACTGGGCATGTCAAATATCAAGAATTACCTGTAACTTACGTTTTGACATAAATAACAAACAAATAAGAATTCTTGTCAAATTCACCCTGTATACATGAGACTTCAACACATTTTGAATGCTCTCTAATCTATTTCATGTCCTTACTCAGCTACATACTGTTTACATACAATCAGCCTCTATCATATAAAGTTAACAAAGTGATTTGTACTTTGGTGCAGTTGACGAAAATAACTCTTTTCGTTTGATAATAAAACAACTAAACATTTTTATGCTGTTAGAAATGAAATTACATAAAAATGTTTAATAGAAAATGTCAGATTTCTTGGAATTACTGCTGAGTATCACGTCTGAGCAAGTCCTTATCAATCCCTAACCTAGATTCATTGGTTAAAAATATCCACTTCACTGCAAAGGGTTCGTACATATACACTGGTATTCCCACTATATCCCAGGGCTCCAGACAAGGGCCGTATCGGCGTATGTACGGCTAACAGATATGCACGATTACGGTAGGAAATAATTTAGGAAACGTAGCAGATACGCACCACAGCAATAGTGTAAGGTCTTAGAATCATTTACAGACGTATTTATCTGAAAAAAGTATTTTTTTTATTGTTTATTGACCTGTTTACACGAGACTAGCAATGTTGTGGTGCATATATGAAACGAAACAGTACATTACTGATATGCCATTAAAGTCCATTCAGTACTCTAAATGTACTCTTTAAGTTTTTCCAGTACTCCTATATTGAAACAATAAGGAGTACGTACTCCTGATGTTGAAAAATTATCTGGAGCCCTGATATCCACTGATATCAGTCTGCACATCTGAAATACGATGGTTGACATATAGTGCATATTGCTATGTGTGTAACTTCTGCATATCTGAAGCTTATGGAGTTTAACACAAACAAATGAAAATACTGTACCCCTTCTTGAGTAATGACAAGGATGCTATTCATGGGTAGCCTATCTTTCTTCAGCGGTTGGTTGGTTGATTTGCTGTTTAACGCCACAGTAAGCAATATTCCAGCTACATGCATATGGCGGCAATCTGTAATTAATCGAGTCTGGACCAGTGAGTCCAGTGATCAACAGCATGAGCATCAATCTACGCAATTGGGATAGGATGACATCTGTCAACCAAGATCAATTTCTAACCCAGATCTTCACGGGAATCTTTCCTCTGTGAGAACACCCCATAACTCACACAGAAGTGTACACTAAGGGCCTTAGTATCATATTAAATATATACAGGTACAAAAGGTGCAAACGATTTCTTATTGACTAAAGCAAAGGCAAACAAAAATGATTCACTTGCAACAAAAACTTAATGTGAAAATATGTTCTTAACATCATAACAAAACCACTAACAAAATAAATATTAATAAACAATGAAAATTTATTTATATATATGGACTACAAGCAACACTAAATAAGGGTAAGAAAAGGCTACAACAAGCAATTAAGCAAGTATGCACCAGTTTAGTATAATCAGTACTGCCAACATGTATCACGGTGTAGATCCTTGATTTGTTGTGTTGTTAACGCTGCACTCAGCAATATTCCAGCTATGTGGCGTCGGTCTGTAAATAATCAAGTCTGGACCAGACAATCCAGTGATGAACATCCTGAGCATCAATCAGCCTGACCACCTGATCCTGTTAGTCGCCTCTTACTGACAAGCATGGGTCACTGAAGACCAAATCTAACCCAGATCTTCATGGGAACATTGTAGATCCTGAAAACACTTCTGACATCACCTCTATCTAAAGAATGAACTATGTTCACATCTGGGTTCTTCCATTTAAACAGATGTTTGTTTGTTTGTTTGTTGTTTAACTCTGCACTCAGGAATATTCTAGCTATAAGCAGTCTGCAATGATCAACAACATGAGCATTGATCTCTGCATTCAAACAGGTGATAACATGGATCAAAAGAACTGTGTCTGAAAATATGGATTGCTCTGTTGCTGTGAATTGAACTCGGACAACAACCCGATGAGATTGTCTGCAGTGATCACCTGCCCATCCCCCCCACTGCCATGGACACCAGCATGAACAGCTGCCCCAGGAACAATCCCCGATCACCTGTCCCAGGAACAACAATCCGGTCAGCAGGTCCATGGACGAGTCTTTGGTCTGTCACTCCTTGCAGTAAGACCCTATCAGAAGTTCCCTGGACAATACCTCGATCAACGGCTGCTTGCATACGAGCTCGTTCATTGGCTGCCATTACAATTCGCTGGGTGGCAGGCAGTCTGCCAGGTCTCCTGTTACTGTGCTCTGGGTACAGGTTACTTGGTACTTTGGGACGTATCGGTACATATTGAGAGGTTCGCGCAGGAACTTGTTCTGTGTTCTGTACATTTACATGTTCTGTGGTGCTTAAAGGTATCTGATCTATAGAACGCACAGACACATGATCAGATCTGATCGTAGTAACATGATCAGAAGTGACTGGAACTGCGTGATCTTCTCTGATCCCTGGAAGCTGAGTCCTCATTCCAGACCGGATCAGCACGAACGTCTTGGTTGTCACCGGCATAGCTCATCACATGGTACAACGTCTCCTCTGGCCGGACAACAGCATCACTGTTCAAGAAGTCCTGTCCAGTCAAACTAGCCATGTGAGGCTGCTGGATAGGAGCTGTCCATTGGTTGGTCGGATAGGTCCACCTTTCCGCAGAAGAGTAAGCAGCAGATCTCCTATCCATCTGGCCTGACATAAAACCTCCATGGATGTCCGGAACGGACACAGGAACAGACACAGGGACTGCACCATCTTGCGCAGGAAACACGTTTTCAGAAATGACCTTGACACTGCTATCTCTTGCTTTCACTGGCATTTCTTTCCCTGTCAACAAACTTAAAGCTCTACCTTCTTTCACTGCTCTGCCTTTCTGAAGCAGGTCCTCGTGAAGATCCTGTCTTGGCATCTTCAGCACCTTCTCCTTGCCATCATGCTTCTTGCCCCCACTGCCCTCTCTTCTCCCTGACCCATGCCCCCTGCCCTGTGTAATTGTCATATGTCGGAAGGCCATGTGATGCTGCAGAGAGGAGGCCTCCAGAAACCTCTGTCGACACTCCTTACACTCGTGTGGAAATTTGTCCATGTGACTTGCCAGGATGTGATTGATCATTCCCATCACCCAGAAGAATGGCTTATCACAGTGTTCACACTTGAGTATCGCGATGGACTTGAGACTTTCGGCTTGGCCATATGTATGATCCTGGTCCCCGTAGCTGTGGTCCTTCTTCAGATGGAATCTCAGATCTGTGTTGTAGTCAAACTGCTTTTCACAGAGCGGGCATTTCGGTTGCATGATCTTTAGGTGATCCTTGGCAATATGTCTCAGCATGTTGTCCCGAGCCTGGAACCCTGAGCCACAGTATGGACAGTGTTGACACAGGGCATTACCATGGAAGTCTCTGGTATGCTTATCCATCTCCTCGTCAGTGTCAAACTTCACTTTGCACGTCTTACACATTCTGTCCATCTGATGAACTTCAATGAGATGTTTAGTGATGTCCTTCTTCTTATCCAGCCTGAGGTCACAGAGCGAGCAATGGATGCCACGTGACCTTCTCACACCCCCATGACCTTTCTCACTATGGGTCTTCCGAATGTGATTCTTCACGTACGACTTCCGAGAAAATGTTGCCCCACAAATCTCACAACTATGATCCATTTCTTTTTCATGGATTCCCTTGATGTGGCACTGCAGAGAAGACTCCCACTTGAATGTTGCGGGCAAAGGTGGCAGAGGTAGCGTTCACTTCCATGAGCTGCTTTGAGATGACGATCATACTTATTCTGATTCACCCAGGTCTTATCACAGAGAGTACATTTTATCTTTTTAACAGACTCTCCAATCAACTTTTCTGTGTGGATGTCTCGCATGTGTTGACCGAAACTTTCCCATCTGCCATAGAATCTATCTTCCACACACAAATTGCATTTTAGCTTCATCTTGCACCGATTCTCTCTCACAAAGTCCATGTATTGGGGCTGGCTTTTGTGTATGTTCCGTGTGTGATCAGCCAGAAGAAGCGGATCAGGAAAGGACTTTGTGCAGAACTTACAACTGGTCTGTATCTGTGCTGGATCGGAGACAGGACCCCACAAATCTGAGCCAACCTCGGGCACTATCTTTATGCAGTAGCTCTCCAGCCGTTTGTACATTGCATCTATGCCTCTCTTGGACAGTTTCTTCTTCTTTTTCTTCTGCTTATGTTTAGTGGGGCTCTTTGGGCCGATCTCCCTCTTGGTCGTTTCAGAGGTTGTTTCAACCTCTGCCATCTCCTTCTCAGCATCTATGAAGTATAACACAAAGATTTATCTAAGATTTCAAACTAACTACCCCTGGCAGGCTAACATTTTTTGTTATGTTATTCTTGGTTTTCTACATACAGATTACCCCTGTTACGATTGACTAGTGTATTCAGTAAATCAAGCTGTATCCCTTCATGAATTCAATTCATTATTAATTTTGTGGTCACTAGAATCAAATATTTACAAATATTTTTAACAGAACGTTTGTACTTGGAACAACTAGTTTGTTTGTTATCTGAGTGAGATAGCTTAACTTGTGTTATTTTACCAAGGCCCCTTACAGCACTGTCATCAGGCTATAAGCAGTGTATTGTATTCTTTCCTTTACAGAAAATATCATTAAAATGTTTCAACTTTAGCAATTATCTGACAGGGTTTTTAAGTTTTATTTATTGGTATTAAGTATAATGTATTCATGAATAATTATTTGTATTCGTTACTATCTATTTGAAAAACATATCATATTTGCCTCATAGTGTATTCATTGCATTCCTAATACAGATGTTTTGTAACAATGATTTCCTACACTGCATTCTATGGGATAGTTTGAAACTAAGCATTAAAGCCTCTTCATTCATACTGGTCATGTTATTAGTGAAATACATGTCAGCATGAACTCACAAATGTTTTACCGTCACTCGCTACAGATATTGGGCTTATTGGCTTCTAGCAAGTCCAGATAAAACCCAGTAATACAGACACAAAGATCATCTGAGTAGATGATGTTAGAGCCCTAATGCAACATTATGGAAATTAGCAGAGTTTTTCTTCATTAACAGTGCATCTGTATGTATTTATGTTACAAGAAAGAAACATTTTCATGTATCTGTAGGTTTTCCGCACAGGTGACATCTGCCAACCATCTCACCTGGTTCATCCTGTCCATCACCAGCACCATTCTGTTCACTCCCAGCGCCATCTTGTTCAGCCCAACATCTTTCCTTCTCCGTGTTCAGCGCCACACAGTCTGAAGACTCCTCACTCTTGCTGCTAGATTTCTGGAAATGGATTTTTCAAACTAGTTCAATGCCCAGGGGCGATTCCAGAGGGTGTGTGTGCGTGCGCACTCACGCACACACTCACACCAAAACAATTTTCACAGAGGAGCATTTACCCCTAACCTTTGGACTTCATGATTTATGTGCACACACCTCATCCCCAAACCCCTCTTCTCCAACATCCTGGATCCTCCCCTGATGCCAATGTTCTAAAGGTCTTGAAAATAGTTCATGACAAAGAAACCTATACAGCATAATGCCAGAACTTCATTTTTAGGTGTACAGAAACACTCTGGTCTGTAGGAAGCTCAAGACTCCACACAAAAGAAGGGAATACAAAAACATGGACTCATTAACCTGGCATTCAGATTGTCAAATTGAAAGTCAAACTGCCTGTTCTGAACTTGTAATGTATACATGTGTACTTACTTCAAGCTAGATTCCATACACTCGGTGTGTGATGAAAGTGCTAACATTATTACCCATTCTCAATGGATTGCTATACACAGTTGTACTTTATCATCTTTGGCCAAACAGAACAAATTATAAACAAATTCATTTGCTTAGGGTGAGAGAGAGTATGACAATTGTTTTTCTCTGCTTTTAGCAACTTTTCATCAATGTCAGAGCAGGACACCAGATATTGCATTCACACATTGATTTATTCATGAGCAACGCAGAATCAGAGAGTGCTTGATACATGTTCGTAATTGAACTCACTAACCACTAGCCTACCCTACTTCACACTAGTTAGCCTGAGGAGGTCCAACATGTTTCAGTGAAGGACAGGGTCAGAATCATTAATATCTATCAGTACGTGTTCCCTTGCACAGGCCACTAGGAGTAGGAGTGAGTGAGAGGAGCCACATTTACAACAGGGTTTTACACAGACTTTGAAAATGGGAGTCATGGTGACTCACAGCATTTAATTTTGGGAGTCATTTTCCATATTTGGGAGTCATGAAAAGTTTAGTGTAATATTTATTTGTGTAAATCCGAAAGCAAGAGTTTTGCAAAGTTTTTTGTTGCTCTGTGTTGTATTGCCATGTATATGATTAGAAATTGGTTTTACGTCGTGCTTCAATAAATGTGCATGTAATTTTACCCAAAGAGTTCACCATCAATATAACTAGCATAAACTTGTCCTTATAGTACCCATTAATTGTGCGGAGTTTTGTTTCCATGGTGATGTCACAGGTGTCATCCATCATAAGGCCAATGTATGGACTACTCTTTATGGCTTCAAATTGCTGTTCTTCCATAATATGAAAGATCGTTTCCTCCATTTCCCCAAGGACACAAGCATTTCTTTTAAAGTTAGCGCAGTGTTCTACACCATTTGATAACTTGTACATTCATCAAATCTTTAAAAGTATCAGCAGGTAAATTTCTTGAGTCATGACATCAACAGTGCACATTTGTTTAATGTGACCATCAGTCTGGTCACTACGATGACCTTTGTCTGCCTTATCTACATGTTTGACAGATATGCTGAAATGCTGTTGCATTTGGTGAATTTGTGATCTTTAGAAGCTTGATGTCTCTCGGACTTCTGAAAATTCTGACTAGCAAATGTAAATGGATTCGGTTTATTTTTCGGCCCGAAAGCACATATCACAGGCCATGATTTTATTGACACTGTCATATTTTAGCCAGGTGTTAAGCGATAGCCAATCATCACAAAATACCCTTGTGATTGATTTTGATGTTTTGCAGTTGGTTTTAGTGCTTGATTTATTTGCCTCATCATTAGAAACATCAGGAGATTTGTTTTTCTCGCTTTCATTACTGAAAAACAAGTCAAGCCACCACTGTTTCTTTGCTGGACCAGTCATGCTTAAATACCAAAACATACTCTAAATATATAGTGAATGACATACTTTATGTTAATAACACTAGCGTTTTCAACGCAGTTTGCAATAAAGCAAAAACTATCATTGTTTGTTATCAAATCAATTTTAATGAACTGAATTCAGAAGGTCACTCATGAAATGTGCGTCAATCTTGACACGCATGATAATATTTTGACAGTCTTTTTAGGAAATTGTTGTGTCAAATACGCAGGAATCATGGATCATGTAAAACCCTGTTTCCAGTATTCCAGTTATATCACAGTATGCTTGGTAAATGTGGGAGGAAAGCCAGAACTGACGCCGGTCTTAGATGTTCACACCATTGGTGAAACCTTCGGGCATGGGGCCTAATGTGCCTAATGGATGTACATTGTATCTCTGTTCTGTGATCTCTCACATTAACCACTGGGTCCCTCAGACTCCCCATGATACAGAAAAGAGTATAAAACATTGCTTGATAACTCTGGAGTGAGTAAAAAAAAAAAACCTTCACAAAACATCAGCAATATCTCAGCCATATAACAATGGGAAGAGCATTACATTTCAGGGCCTAGATTTTAGAAGCTCTCTTAACGCTAAGATAGTCGTAAGTTAATTTAATGTATGGCACTTACGACTATCTTAGCACTAAGAGAGCTTCGAAAATCTGGGCCCTGACTTGTTGATTCTAGTCCGTGGTCTAATCAAAACTCATGAACACTGTATTTTGCTCAGCTTTACTTGTCTTTGTCTTTGACTCAGTTTTACTAACCTTGTGTGTTGGTTTCAAGGTGGCAGGTTTGTCAGAGCATGGATCATCCTGTTGTGACGGATCTGGAGGGCCAGACTGCTCACTGTCTGATGATCCGGCACCGGCTGGGAAGTCTGCATCTCCTGAGGAACACAAGACACCTACATCTGTTCACTTACTAGATGAGTTGTGAAATGCTTACCTCCATGGCATTTGACTCGCTCACCAAGCAGTGTGCGAAATAGCCACTGGCCTGCTAGTCCGTGGCTAGTAAAAATCCAGTCGGGCCAGTAAATCGCCACAGTCACTGGCATGACTGGTTAGTGAATTTTCATAGGGTTATTTTGTAAAAATATAACTCTCTCCAACTTGTTAAGTTATAATACATTTTTAAACCATGCAAGATTATGGCCTGATAAAAATGTTCATCATATTAGCAGCTTCATTATGAAACCTGTGTCTACATTCAAATTTTGGGCTAGTGAATCATTTTATGGACTATTAACTGGCTAACAAAATTTGGAAATTATTTTGTACTCTCCACCAAGCAATACCTTTTGCCAAAAGAACACCAGTCAACAGATACAAGCTGACTTAAATTTTTCCTGACCGAGTGGTAATAAAATCAGTGGGGTTTGAGTCACAGTATTGTGCTAATGATGTTGCTGAGTTTGTATGAATGTCTACAGGTTTTGGGTATTAGCAATTAAACAAGCAGTCTGTGAAGGTACTATTGTTCACCTATATCTTAATGGACTTGTTTCTGCATTCTCTGCAACAGCTTATGTAATCAGTGCTACATGGTGCTAAAATACCTCTGTTCTTGTTCCCAAATTGCCTGCCAAAGACACTTATTTTGAAATCCTACAGAAATCCCTTCAAGTGGGCCCCTTCAAGTTGCTAATCAGAGAAATTATTCAACTCACCATTCTCCTCCCCTGAATTACAAGGTTGAAACTCTGTTCGGGTTGCATGATGCGGAATCTCTTTCTCTTCTTCAGCATACATCACACTGGGATCGCCATCCTCCATGTCAGGCAGCCTCAACTGTTTACCTGCAAATAGGGCTGATTCTATTAGGGAAGACTAACATTTACTGCCAAAAATAATGTTATCTTGTTTCAAAATACAGATATCCAAAATATAAATAGAATCTAATGAAAGCCCAGGACAATGCTTAATTTCAAGCTGAGGCAATCTAACCTTGCCAAATGACTGTAGACTTCAGTTGGATTCATATTAAAAATTTATTCTCAAGTATGCGGGAGACAAACTACTATTAGTAGTGATTTACAGAAGTAACCATCAAACAGTATCTTAGTGATTTACAGAAGTAACCATCAAACAGTATCTTCAAGTTTCAGTTATTCAATATGCCACAATGTGGTTATGACAGGGACCTCTTGACTTCCATGCTTAAGTCTAAACACTATCACAGTCATGAAACAAAGAAAAATACTCTCAATAATTAAGAGATTAAAATATACCTTGCTTGACACATTTGACAAGGTTAGACCTGTATATCAGTATCAGCATGGTCAGGTAATACTGACCATGGAGCTTCCTCTCACTACTCACTAATATTAAACAATCTATTGTTGAGTCTACACAATTACCCTCAGATATGGATCATGGCTGATGAAGCCAACCACAAGTCTCACTAAATCATGTACAAGTTCCCATGACCATGATAACATGGCTGGAATACTGCATTCACCGTTTACTGAAATGAGTAAGCAGTATCAATAGTTTTCCAAAAACAACTCACTTGACTCAATCTTTCTACTCTTTGGACTTTTCTTCACCGACTTGGACTGCCGCCGTGGTTGTCTCCTGGATGGTGTTGCTTGTTGATCCTTGTTGACTTGTTGACATCTTGATCCTTTTCTCCAGGTCCACTCACTAGGAACATGTTGCCCTATTACGCCCGCAATGCTCAAGCGCAAATGAGGAACTGGACTTGATTGCAAGACAAACGGACCAAGCAAAACACAAGTTTGCACATCTGCTTTCTTACCATGAATGTAAAACAATGGAGTTTTCCCTTCTTCCACCAGAAGTGTTGACTTTACGTCTTTCACTTGTTGACAACTTTGTTGAGGTGTTCTCTTCAGATTTAACAATGCCATTACTTTACTTTGAGGTTCTGATGTCGCATTTTCCACATTTGCTATTTTAGATTTCACACCTTTTATCTCAGTATTTAAAGTATTATGTGTGCTTGCGGATGATTCCTTTTCAGTATTAAGAATTCCATTACCGTTAACACATTTGTTGAAGTTAATAGACACCTTCAAATCTATGTTTCCTAAGGAAACTGGTTTTAATTGTTCAGGACAACTGTCTGCACTTGTGTTTGTTCTCAGATCACCGACATCAATATGCTGTATGACCTCACATATTTGCAAGTAAGTCTTATCAGTGGTTCTATTTTCACTAACATCAACATTTTCAGATTTCTGTTGAATACCAGTTGAAGATGTTTCTCTAGTCCTCTCACCTGATAAAGAAGTGCTTTCACTCGTAGAATATGACACACAATCTACTTCAAATTGAAGTTTGGATCCATTTTGCAATTTGTCAGAGTCATGTTTGTTGACATCCCGATGTCCATCTGTGTGACAATCACTGTTAGAGTTATTGTCACGATGAATATTGTTCATTTGATATATATTGTCACTGTTTTTCAAGCTGTTTTCAAGATCCGTTTGAAGAATTGTGACATCATCTGATAATCTACGTTTCTTACCATGTTTCTCTGTCTGTGTCAAGCAATTTTCTCTTTGGAGAGATGTTCTGTTCGAGATAAAATGAGATAGAACGACTGCACTCTGATTCAGTAACTTGACACTCATTCACATTTTCCGTCTTCAGTGTCTTCTGTTTGCGAACTTTTGAAATTTGTTTACTTTTAGTCTTGCGTTTTCTCCCTTTCGCTTCATTGTCAACAATTTCATCCCAGTCTATGATATTGCACGAGATCGATTTATTGTCACAACTGAATGTTTCTGATTTCAAGCATAGCTGCACGATTAGGTCTGTAAAATTTGCATCGATGTCACAGTGAGAACGGCTATCATGTTTATGTCGTCGGGATTTGGAGACACTGGCTGAGAAATGTCTAGTGTTTTGCTTTGAGCCGGAGGTCCCATGTACCAGGGATTCTAAGAACGCAAGAGGAAATGCTATCCTTAGTTCACTTAGTCGCATCGTGCTAAATAATGGAAATTGTGGGTACTTTGTGCGATCTTAGAAGAGAAAATATCATCAATAGTAATAGAGCACTATCGTTATATAACGGTACACACGATGCACCGTCCCGTTGTTTGAGAGATGGCAGCCATTTTGCAAGTTTACAAAGGGAGGTAACTTTAGAATTTGATATTGCAAGCATACCACGTACATATTTTCTACAATGTATGAACATCAATTTGTGACATACATTATGAAAGCTTTCATATGAAGAAAACACAAACTGTCATTCTGGAATCTTATTTATTTGTATGAATATACCGTCTCTTATTTGTATTTATTTGGAGCTGCATCAATATAAATTATCGGTGAATGAGAGTGGCATACATGAAAGATCAATTTCAGCCAGATACATATCTCAGCCTTTGTCCAAACATCACAGATATCTGCAGCTGTCTGTGACTTAAAACAGTAAGTAATGTCGGAAATATTCCAGCCATATAGTGCCCTGGGTGCCGTTCCACTAACCTATCTTAGCCCTATGCCAATCGTAAACCCCTAAAATCCCAATCTTAGCGTGACGTTACGATCGGCATACCGTTCCACTAACCAATCTTACCTAAGTCAATCGTAAAGTTAAGATTCAAAGTCTAAGTTGCTCATGACCAACTTAGGATAGCTAAAATCAATCGTAGAGAAACCAAAATGGTGGCTTTCCTATTCTATGTGAAAAATAAGAGCGAGCATTTCACCGTGAGCGTCCCCTAAAGTCCCCCGTGAAATGAATTTGTATATTTCTGTGATGTAAACAAACACTGCACTGAAGCCTTAAAAAAGTCAGGCCAGCCTGACCACTGTCGTCATGGGAACACAACCGAGCGAGTCGGTGTAACACATGTGTATTGTACAACAATATTGCAACATCATGGTTAAGAATAGGGACAGCCGTGAAGTGAACAATGTTCTGAAGCAAAAAGATACAAATATGTTTGATTTCACTGCGCATATTTGGTGGGGGATTCTAAAGGCAGACCGCGTGTTATTCAGTATTCAGGCACATATTAAAAGCTCTGACACAATTGACATTTTTAAAGTGCAGACTTAAAACCTGTTATCAGTTTATTACTTACAATCTCGGCTGTAAATGCTCTCGTGTAAATTATCTGTACATGGCGCTTTGAGCATGCCCCAGGATGTCGAATAGGCGCACTATAAATATGCATTTATTATTATTATATTATGCCTGATACCCAGCGTTCACATGCACTTGCACCTGAAACCAAGGTGCTCACTACCCTAATATTTTGCTCCAGCCTTTTCCTCCACGTTTACACTTGGTTGGAAAAATACCAATGAAGAACCGGGTTAGAATATTGAACTTCAGTAACCTATGCTTGTCGTAAGAGGCCACTAACGGGATCGGGTGGTCAGGCTCGCTGACTTGGTTGACACATGTCATCGGTTCCCAACTGCACAGATCGATGCTCATGCTGTTGATAACTGGTCCAGACTCGATTTTTTATAGCTAAGATACATAGCGTTAACAAACATGAACGCTGATGTTAGTGAACGCTATGCATCTTAGTTAGATTATTTACAGACCGCCACCATATAACTGGACTATTGCTGAGTGCGGCGTAAATCTAAACTCACTCACTCACTCAGTTGGTTCGTAAACTACTTCCTTCATTTGCTAGACTATGCAAAGGGAGATAACTTGTTCCTCGCATTCCTCTATCTCTCGCACGAAAGAGTCTCGATCTAAGCTTGGATCGGATCGGATCGTAAGATCGGGACCGGCTACAATCGGCCTAAAATCGGTTAGTGGAACGGGTGTAACTTATAGCTAAGACGATTGTAAAATTGGCGTAACTTGCTAAGATTGAGATTAACGTCTAATGCTTGCATTACTTCGGGCTTTCCTCCCGCATCAAGCAGGCACGCCGAGACATAACAGCAATACTGCCCGAAGAGGTGTGAAGACCAAATCACTCACTCGATCATTCCCATTTACATACAACCGGTTGTAGAACTGATGCAAACATCTTCAAAAGGAAATGATAATTTATGTCCACAGTCCATAGTGCTTCTGATTATTACTAAACAAAAACAATAAATATAATAATAGAAATCCCAACGAGACAGTAGTATATACAATGATAGTCCGAGATCAAGTCCAACAAAAAGCCTCTGTAAAGCTTTATTTCACAAATAAAGTTTTGTCAGGCCCTTAGATCTCGCCACCATTGTATAGCCTACTTTTGAATCCCCAGTTAACTTCCCGACCCCACGTGACACAATAGTGTGCTATGACCGTGAACTAGCACGTGAAACTATGTCGCGTTGACCTCAATGAAACAGTTTAATGTGAATCGCCTATGATCTCTTTGGTGTTCGTAATAAAGGCTTGCTGGGCTTTCCGTACCCCCTGTTCTATGTACTTTTTTTTCTCGTCTTCGCTGATAGCAGACTTACGAGACTTGGACCGGATTTCTTGTTTCATCTTACGGTACTTGTCGAGTTCAGAGAGGATTGAACGAAATTCCTCCTCTGAGATCTTACTGTCAGTGAGTGCTGTGGAAATACGCTCACTTACCGTGTTCAGCTTTGCTTCGGCTAGAACCCTGATCTCGTCGTGTTTCAATGCCTTACGATGCAGTCTGCGTGATGCAAACTTAAACACCAACCCTGCCACCCCTACCACCCCAGCTGTTATTTCAATGCCTAGCACTATAGGTGCCGCCACGATGGTGGCTAACAACCCAACACCTGCCGCCCCTAGTCCCATGCTGGTTGCCATAAGGGCAGTATCAGTCCCGTCCACGATATTGGAAGCTCTATGGTACTTCTTATATAGTGCTTTCCGCGTGTCGCGGTCTTGTTCTAGTTGGCATTTTACATCACATAACTGCCTCAAGCGGAACCCGTCTACGGTTTCCAGGGTCTTCGCGACTTCCTCCACGACAGGGTACAGCCCCATCCTGTGTGCATATAATATATTTTATGAGACATTTTCTAATTGTGTGCTATTTAAATCTTGTGTAGTGTATTTGAAGCTTACAAGGTCCAGGCCATCAGGCTGGGTAATAGGTGAGAGGCTAATAGGTACCTCTGCTCTAACATAAAGCCCACGGAGGCTTACTAAGGGGTCTATAGGATCCGTTAAGGCGTCCGGTTGTATGACGATACGGCAATGTTGGTATATGTGTTCGGCGCGCCAGTATATTGCCACCCCGGGTAAAAGTGGTACTGCTGAACTATCCGGGGCTATCTTCAAAAAGAGGACTTCTATGATGAGTGTGGAGCGTGGGTATATATCCATAAGCCCGAATTGGGCATCAGGGGCGACAAACCTTAATTTATTTTTGCCTACTGAAACTAACGTGTTGTGTAGGTGATCAGTGCCTATCTTGACATATGCAATTGACTCCGGAATGAAAACCCCGAGCAAGAGACCGTTGTTCCTAATTTCGGGGACAAACCCATTTTTGTCTAAAGAGATGTAAGGTGCAGTGAGGGCCATGTTGATCAACCATGCGGGTTCTTTAAAGTCTGCCAGAGGCTGCCGTATGTACACGCCGTCTCTTAAGAGCAGGACGTATGAGCCACCTCCCTCACCGGGTAGATCGAATCCCTCCGTGTCTCCTAGATCGTTAAGTGTGGCGTTGGGCCGATGCCGATTGGACATTGCTATAATACTATTACGAGATAGTTTCCAATTGTTTTTCTGATAATTTCTCAGGGGTGCACTTCATCCCCATGACGTGTATGTTGTCGGGTAGGAAGATCTTGGTGAGTGATATCGTGTCTTCCACGGTCACGGTGACCCCCTGCAGACTGGTGTGGGAGTCGACACCCACCCGCACTTAAACAGTGCAAACCTGATACTGGTGCAGTTTCACCCACCGGAGTCTGACCCCCTTCACGATTTCGACTTCATCTGGCAATGGTTCCCCTAGGTAGACTTTGATGACCAGCGTGGAGTTCGCCGGTAGGCTCGCCAGGACGTTGACCACGCCAGCGAATTCAGACACCAACTGCAATGCCCCGTCTTGCACTCCCGGTTTACTCGATAGCATGTGGGCTGCCATACTGGCGACTGGGCTGATGATTACACTACGTCTCTGCGCCGGGACGTAAGCCACGAGCAGGGTTCCGTTGTTCACGACTTTGTTTAGGTAGTTGTCTTTGTTCTCCATGAACCCGTAGGGGGAGCCGAGCCTAATATTGAGAAACCAGTCGACTTTAGCGGGTAACAACACCCACTTGTCATCGTCGGTGAAGACGAGGTATATGGCTTGTTTCGGGCGACGGTCGGGCTCTCAAAATCTTCTATGTCGAACAGTTTGCCTCCGAACGATGGGTACACCATCCATCTATCATCACCGGTGTGGACTAGGTCGAACCGAGTGTTGGGGGCCGCTCCTGAGGTATCTACTATTTCACCTAGGGTTCAACCGATGGAGGGGACTTCAACGTGTTTGTAAATGTTGTTTTTCAGTTGCAAGGCATACAATTTACCATCTACTCCGGGGTCGTCGAATCCGCGTGTGTCCCCGAGGTTGGATATCCCCACATTGACGCATTTTTTCAACTTCATTCCGGGGCCTTGTGCGCTGGTCATTTTATGTGCAGCGTTATGCTGAGGTATCCTATATTCACAGGATTATGCTTTATATCTAACACCGATATTATCAACTCAGGGATGTTGCCCCGAGTAAACCTCTTATACTGCCGCGGTGAAAACGACTCGGTTCTACCGTCGTTGTATTTCTGCGTTTTCACCGGTACGGCTCTCAGTATCATGGAAGGGTGACCACCTTGAATGTTGTCCGTTGTGCTCAACTGACCGAGATGAAGGCACAGCTCTCAGTACGGTACTAGGTCGGGTAACTTCGTGCCTATGACGGTAGTTGTGGGTTTTATCTCGTCCGACGACATCCCGAGTGTCCTCACCAATGGTCGGCCGAGCCTCAAGGGGTTTATTCCGTTGTTGATTAACACCACTGTGCCTTTTGAGTCGTTCATCTTGAGTTCGGCTCCCAAGGGTTTGAAGACCTCATCGCTTATCGAGCACACGCTGTAGTAGCCGGCAGTTATCTGGTTGCGGGTGCCACTGACGAACAGCTTGTTGTTGTTGGCG